CGTCCGTCCCTCAGTCTCTTCCATCCTTCCATCCTTCCTTCCATCCTTCCTTCCTTCCTCCCTTCCTTCCTTCCTCCCTTCCTTCCTTCCTTCCTTCCTTCCTTCCTTCCTTCCTTCCTTCCTTCCGTGTTTCTTAAACTAGACCCAGAAAGGGTTTATTACAGCAACTTCAATATATAAACGCTTGAAAAACACTTAAATTGGTCCAAATAAGTCCCACAGAAGTTGGACGCTAGAACTTATGACCAGCGGTTTTGCAATGAGTACAAGCGTGCACTGACCTCTACAGTTCCATGCCCCGAACTGTTCACCATGGCCACAGCGATGTCCAGGCCTTTCATGTCTTTATTCAAGTCACTAATCCCAAGTCCAATCCATCCAGTTCCTGTCACGGTAATTTTGAACATTACCTCTTTCGTATTGGAGTTGAAGTTCCAGTTTAGTTTGTATTCTCCTTTCTTAAATATTAATTCGTTGTCTTGACTGAAGACATATGAAAGAATTAAATCATAAGAGAATATATGAGTGACACTCATGGGTAGTATCTTGGCAACCTTTTTCGTTTGGGATTGATTTCATCATTGACTTGACTTGAAGGTTTTGTGAGTGGCCCGAGTTAAATTACCCTCAATGCATTATGTTTACAAAATTTTATCATACAGCATCGATGACACCTCAAATCAGTGTTGAGACTTCATTGGGTCGTTCCCGACTTTTTGGCGTTGTAATGGAGACCTTATGGATCGCATTTACTGTCAACCTCGTTCCCAGTTCCTTACCCCTTCCTACTGAACCCAAGCAAAAGGATAAGGCCTGGAAATGAGGTTGATTTACTGTCTGCTGTGAGGGRAGTTATTAATTTTGCCAAAGTTTCTTTGGAGGCAGGCTTTATCTAAAAGTGTTTGATTTTAACTGGGAGTCCTAAGTAGTCGTTGGGTTGAGAATTGACTGTAGTTTCAGACTCACCTTGCTGACGTTGGTGCTGGCGTTGATGTTGGTGCTGGCGTTGATGTTGGTGCTGGCGTTGATGTTGGTGCTGGCGTTGATGCTGGTGTCGGTGTTGGTGTTGGTGTTGGTGAGACTGCATCAACAGAAGAAGTCGCTACTACCGAGGACGATGCTGTTGGAGCAATGGTGCTTGACGCCGGGGCAGCAACAAGCATGACTAGCCCAGAGTAACCTTTGTTTGTGTTATGATAACCAAACGTATCAGTGTCGCCGTAAGCCCAGGCCAAATACAGTTTTTCGCCAGGCTTAACAAAACAGATACAACGATCGTTATGATGACAATGTCGAAAATCAAACGTAAAAAACTTATTACACACAAGCCGAGTTCCTAAATATCGCACCAATCGGTATCTTGTTCTGTGCTCTATGTCATAGGAATATTTCCGCTTGTTCGACGCATAGCAACCGTAACTAGGGAGTTAGGACAATGAATCGGGATCGTTCGGCGATTGCTCCCAGGTATATCATGTCTAATTAAGTGTATTTAATCTGATGTTACCGTGATTTTGGTGTCTTTTGCATCTCCAGTGTCTAATTTTCGCTTGAATCTTAGGTTAGTTATCCCACCATTTTCACTTCCAGCGGTGATTGTAGCAGCATTGGTATTATCTGGTGTCGGCGTCGTTTTTGCATCAACGTAGTAATCCTATAAAAGGACATACAACTCAAAGCCGTGTACAATTTGTTTTTTACCACATTTATGTCTAGCAAAAACCATACTTTTCTTTCACGAGCTTGCGCGAGACATGATGGTGTCAGCACACTGCGCATGTCCTCTTTTGACACACCCTTATCGGCCAATCAGCGAGCGCGCGAGAATTTACACAATTGTGGCAATAATGGATAATAAACTACTTGCAGAATTAGAAACATTGTCATAGAAAACAGAACATTTAAATTTAGTAGCAAGGAATAAATTAACAAGACAAAAGAAAGCGTTCAGTCTCAGTGATCTTCCTTTCTCTTTTTAAATTTATTCCTTTTTACTAAACACAAATGTCCTAATTTATGCTGTAAGATGGTCTGTGGTAAACATCGGCTCCATTTAGTCTCCATTTCTATACAAGGTGAATCCAATAAGTGAAATTTTGTTAATCAAAACAGTGTAACCATAGTCCCTTTCGGTCGTACAATCTCCCTTCGAMAATCGCCGTTTGCCGTTCTCCCCGACAACGTTTTTTAAAATAGCTGTATGTACTAAGGGTTCGATATTATGGCTTCGTTTTGATTTACTGCAGCAATTACCGAGACTAATGACACACAATAAACTTGACAATAAAAAAAAAAAAATACCTGTGGGCTGTTACTATAACAGAGCGAAGAACATATTTACCATGGCAGTTTCAGAAGATTTCCAAAATCGTTCATTATATTGTTCATAAATAATCGATAAAGAATTAAGGAGGACTTCATGGACAGATGTTATGAAAAAGAGAGCTCAAGAAGTGGAGGTCCTAGTGTCTCCCCTCCCTACACTTTTGCTTTTGCAGGACGCAATGAACCTAAGAGACCGCAACAGCCTGCCGGTGGCAACTCTCAGTGACTGCCTTGCTCTACTAAAATACAAATCCCTCTACAGATCTTCTCGTGCACTTCAATCGCTGACTAACTCTGTTGTGTTCCCTCACATAATAAAATGAATAAAACAATGGCATAAATGCAGCTTTTCTGACGCCGTATTGTTTTTTACTGACTATTGTCCGACGCGGTGAGATTGCGKAAACATCATTCACAAAATGCAAAACGGAACAGATTGATAAAGCCATATTCAGCGATTCCTTGGCGGTTATGTTTGCGTGTTTGCGTGCTTACATTGCCAAGCAATCAGCATTAGTTACGTAACTATAATTGACGGAAAAGCCAGGTGCAACACATCGGTAGTGAATAAATCAGTTATATATATTTTAGTTTGCATCTTTAACGCGAAGCAAACCTATTTATTACACGTCGACTCCAGTCTCCTCACACTTTCACTTTTACATATCTGAATTTAGTAGATTCTGTTAGGAGAGCAGACACTTTTTCCGTTTCCCAAGAATGTCCGGCGTTTGCGGGAGATTCGACTGCGAGTGTTGTTGCTGTTTTTTTTTTTCTGCTGGTTATCAGACAGGAAATTGAAAGTCCCTGTATCAKACGAAAATACAGTATGTTTTTAAGCATAATACATTATCAATATATGCACACCAAAAGCTTAGCAAGGCGTTMGATTACTCTATCTGCCCACTATAGTTACCGCTCAAAATAAGGTTGAGCAGTGCCCACAAGGCCTGTATCTTGCTGTATTACAATATTTCAGTATACCTCAAGGTAGTTTGCTGAATTTTTAAATCCTCCAGCATAGACATCAAGCTTTTTCATACCACTATTTTCCATCGAGATTCCCAAACCAATCCATCCAGTAGTTTTCATTGTGAGGTTAAACTCTATTTCTTGGGTCCCAGGCAGATGWGTCCACTCAACCAAAACATCACCACTTTCGAAGGATAGTTGWCCGCCAAACGCGGTAGAAATTGTCGCTAAAGCGAAGACAATCGCTGAGAAAGCTAGCATTTTAATGCCTTTCGTGTCTTAGCTTGTAAATCGGTTTAGTCGACAATGAGTGATGTATTGTTGTCAAAGCATGCAAGAGATGACAAGTGTTATTTTTCAAATTTTCTGGCTTTGTTTTCTTGACATGTTATTGGTGAAAGGAAAAATACCAGGGTATGTAATTGGCCGAATTATAGTTTAATCGAAGGAACGTACACAATGCACTAAGCAGAGCGTGAACACGTACCTATGACCAAATTTAGGCTCGGGGTCGTCTTTGTGATATTTTCAAGTATTTTCTTTTAACAGTTTTTCACTATTTGCGAATRTGTCTTTCTAAGTCGATGGGAAATCAAGAATCGGGATGCGATGATCGACTATGCACGAGAAAATACAACCATCTATAATCAACTAAAAACAATAATACTATGAAAACTTGTATAGCGCATATGCAAGTCTGTTCTATGCGCTCTGGTATAATATGAAAAAAATTAAACTCTAAACCAAGCTAAACTAAACAAATAAGTTTTAAGTTCTTTCTTAAAGGAAATCAGAGAGTCAACGTTACGTAATTCAGATGGGAGACAGTTCCATAAAGTAGGCGCATCAACAGAGAAAGAGCGAGAGCCATATGTTTTCATCGAGTAAAGGTTAGCAGACAGKWGTAGTTCTTTAGAGGACCGGAGCGGTCYTTTAGGTTTGTATACAGAGATCAGTTCAGAAATATAAGACGGAGTAAGACCATGTAGTGCTTTGAAGGTAAGGAAAAGTATCTTGTAATTAATACGTTGACGAACAGGTAAGCAGTTGGTATAGATCTTTTAATAAAGGAGTAAAACAAAAATAAATAAAAAACAATAGATTTATAATGTTTTTAATCCAAGGACGATGGGTGAAAGCGATTCACTGGAAAGTTTGGAAATTTGGAATATATATTTTCCCGTTGAAAGTTTAATATACGGAAATTCAAACTAATTTTTCATTTGATGAACAATTTTTAATGCGTGAAATTTAAAGTGGCTTATAATTAATTATATTTTTAACACTACATTAACAATTGAATGCCTCCTCTTACGTTCTTCATATCCTTTCTTCTTTTTACTTTTGGGCCTCCTGTCTAAATCTGACAGAGGATGACTGTGCTCAATTATAGGAAAGAGCTGATTTCTCCTTTTTTTTAAAAATTTCATTATGATTATACAGGTTATATCAGTTACACGACAAAATTATAAAGAGTTTTGCATCTTCTAATAAGAATTCAGCATTTAAAAAAAAAACCTTTAGAATAACATTAAGAAGTTTAAGTTATGCAATCTCGGTTAAGAAGTTTTTCCATGAGGCTGACTTAGCGAACAAAAATTGCCACAAACATTGACAACAACAACAGAATCGAGGACAGTTGTGCGCATGCTCCGGTGTCCGTTGTGGTTCTGTAAAAAAAAAAAAAACGAAAATAAATCTAAATCAAAATAGTCTAAAATTGTTTTTCCTTTCTCTATTTCAGACTTCCTGTCCAACGACAGGAAAATGTATGAGAGCAGATTGGACTAAAGGGTGTCCAAATCTATTTCAAAAAACGTTGTCGTCGCCAGGACACAGTCTATGGTCTTTAGACTGCAAAGAATCTCGGGATTGCCATATATAATTATATATTCAACTTCAGTTATTCAAAATACTCCGATTTAGAGTTCTGGTTTGCCCTGTATTTCAAAACCAAGTAACATAATTCTTTTGTTTCATTTATAGCTTTAGAAAAACGCTTGGAATTTGAACAAAAATGAAAATTGAATTGATTTGAAATCTCACACTTTTATTCTCACAATTCAATAGGAATATTTTGCGCACAAATAAGGCTAACACCTAGCACTGGAAAATTCAAAACTGGATTATTCTCGGTCTCGCATAGCGAGTATAGCTTTGAAAATCATTGACAGTTTGAAAACGTTGAACATTTTYCCAGGAAAATGTCTCGTGGCGAGACTTAAACCTTAATGTCGGTAATGTATTTTGAACCAGTATATTAATTACTCATGGAAAACCCGAGATTCTTTGCAGGCTCAAGACTGTGGACTGTGTCGTGGTGACGACAACTTTTTTTTGAAATAGGTGTAGACGAGCGATAACAAGCATGGTGCACTTTGATAAGCATCGAGGGCGCGCATATGAAAACGAGGTTATTTTGCAATATCTCGCAGCATCTCTATTCTTCACTCAAATACCTGATCATTTTCATGCGCGCCTAAAATATATTTRAAAAGCGGCAGCGCACATCGAGATGAATAGGCCATTTGCATTATGACGTAAGTACTACAACTACCAGAGAGCCTTGCGTATTTTCATTGTTATTCAGATTTTYAATCCCCTTGSAGATTAATAAAACAATTGGCACTAATTGCATTACAAAAGAAAGTTGGCAAAGCATTCTGGTAGTTGTAGTAAATGACGCCATAAGGCATATCGCCTATTGAGATCAAAAGATCTCTGAGCCTTGAATGTTGCGTAACGTATATGCAATGCATTGTGGGATATGTTTGCACGAAATATGGCGGATTTCTTTCATTTACTCCCGAAACAGATCCCACAATGCATTGCTAATCATGTATGTGACGTAAAAGCTTCAAATACTGATTCTTACGTTTGCATTGTGGTCGTCATATTATTCAACATAGTAGATGATACTGATGACATCGATTGAGTTGGGGATGCTGTAGTGTTCACAAGCATGACAAGGCTACTGTAGCCTCTGTCTGAATTCAAGTGCTTTAGAAACCCAGCCTGCACGTTGTAAGCCCAGGCGAAGTAGTATTTCTCTTCAGACTATGAACATAAGCCAGATATTATGTAAGACCGTTTTGACAAAACGACAAAAATATATACAAAAAACTGACATTGATAATGATAATGATAATCATAATGATAATCATAATCATAATGATTGCAATGGCAATATGGCAGTGACAACGATCATACCCAGTAATGAAATACACTTCTTTGCAAGCAAACCTGACATTTGCTTTACCACATACATTGTTCAGCATATTGAATCTTACCGCGATGTTAACGTCCTTCTGTGAGTCCCCAGTATCTAGCTTTCGTTTGAATACAAGGTTGCTCTGGCCACCGTCCGTAGTGAAAGACAGTTTCGTAATACTATTTGTATCACCAGATTCAGATGGCTTACCTGCACTGGCAGAATACATATCCTTAAATAGCGACGGAGGAACAACGTTAGTCGGGTTATAAGTTGTATTTTTTATAATAGAGCAAATTTCGTATGAGTGGGAAACGGACGGTACTGTACTGTGACCGTAATCGTACTGTAACCAAATTCTTGTGTCCCATTGGTTCACCAAAATTGTGCAGACCAGGTCTGGTAACTGTGCGGTAACCGTGCGGTAACGGTGTCCCACTCATACGAAATCCACCCTAGTGTCAACGCACTTGTACCGTAAAACATAATCAAAGAGGTAGTAACTATTAGTCTTAATCATAGTTAGTAACTAATGTCGGCTTTATTACAGGACTGCGCAATATTTATCAGGAGCGGGGAGGGGAGTCTAGAATCCAGAGGTTGGGGTAACATCTAATTTTATGTGCTAAAAGAGGGGTGGGGCAACGTCCAAAATTAACTAGAACTTTAATTGAAACTTAAAAAAAATCAAGGGTGTCAGATCACAAAAACTACTCAAGAAAAGCGTGTCACAATTTGTGGCAACTCTATATGTCACGAATGATAAATAAATAAATTCACGGGCGGAGCGTAATTTAGTTCGTTTGCAAGGATGGCAGTAATTAACTTTTTTGATTTTTTGTCTCATTATTCAACACCCCGTCATTGTTGCAGAAAGCCGTCAAAAAAATCGAAGCGTGTCAATAAACAATTAGAATTTTGAACAGTACATTAATTAAACTGACAGTAACGCATTCTTGCTTTCACTAATAATTTACATTCATATATAAGCATATGATATAGCTATATTACATCATAATCTGATCGTGTTTAAAAGCTTTCACCCATTTAATATCCTGTCTTTCTCAATTTTCAAAAATAGCTATCCCGACTTCACGCTCTAAGAGCGTCTAGTTAATTCTAGTTAATGTTATTTATTCTCACCCCCTCTGATTATTATTGCACAGTGCCTTCAGCATTCTGTGTATCAAAAATCCAAGGACGCCGGCGCCCAGTCTCAATACTATTAGGCAACAGTTGTGTTTTCACGGCGGTGTCAATGTAGTCCGCGGTACAAGTCTATTTAGTTTTATTTACGAGGGGGGGAAATATAAAAATGGCTTTAAAAATCAATCTTTATTAATAGAAATCAGTTTATACTTATTAAAGAAAAAAGAAAAAGAGAGAAAGTCTTGAAAAGTCTCAAGAAATGATGTAGAAAAAAATTTACGGCTTCATGAGAGCTAGAACCGCGAGCTACGCATTACCCTGGTTCCAGAGGTTTCATATTTTCTCTCTTTGCTATTGTTTTTGTTGGCGCGAAGCGCCCTAATCATCGAGGCGAAAATTGATTTTCGCTCGGCCTTACGGCCTCGATAATTATCATACTTAATAGCCTCCGTAGCAGACGTTCTTAGAATCAGAATCGAACCGCTAAGAACGTCTGCTATACGGAGGCTACATACTCTAGTAAGACATGTAGCTTTGGAACCGCTAAGAACGTCTGCTACGGAGGCTACATACTTAAGACATGTACCTTTGCCACACCCTGAAGCCTGGGCGAGCGCAAAACTTGCACTGGCGTTGTGTTTTGTTTTCACATATCAAAATCAACGCTAGCCAATGTAGGCGCAAACGCAAAAAGGAAAAATTTTGATATCTTGCGCTTGCTTTATCATTTCGTCGACAGTTTTCATCATAAAATAACAACTCTTAAGATGGCGTTTGCTCTTGCGTGAGTCTTGAAAATCAGGCTTAGTATGTCACAGTTTCAGGAAATCTGACAGCAAACAATGTTAACTTAACTTACTTTTATCGACTTATCCTGAACAGTGCCAACGTAGACATCAAGATTTTTCATACCACTATTTTCCTTCGATATTCCCAAACCAACCCAACCAGACGTTATTTTCACAGTAACATTGAACTGTATTTCTTGAGTTGCTGGCAAATGCTTCCATTCAACGACGTATTTGTCGCCACTGAGTGCCATTTTCCCGTCAGCGAAAACAGTAGAAATGGACGCAAAGAGAACGATTGCTGCAGAGAATGCCGACATATTCTTAGCTTATTCTTAGCTCTTCTTCATCAATTCAAGTCCTGACAAGTGATGCAAGGAGTATAATTCAAGCGTTGACAATGGTCATCTAACGATTGGTTGGTTATTTTAGTATCTCAATTTTCAAGTGTTTTTGTGCAGCATGTGATTATCAAAAAACAAGCATAAATAAAACACGACTTATGTGACTTTTACCTTACTCTGACATATATAGTTAGCCACTGGGGATTAAAAAAATCCTGGAAATTATTTGTTTGTCTGTCTTTTCGTTTGATTATTATATCTCACTGGAAACTATTCAAAAACGGACTAAATATTATAGTACCATGTGTTACAGTCCAATGATGACAACAAGTCTTAAATTATGTACATAAAGATACCTTATAATTTAGACATCTTTTTTCGTCACTCATATTTTTAAATTTATGTGTTATATTGCTTGTTTTATATATTGTTTACTTTGTAATTGTTCGTAATCCAGCCTTATGGCTGTAATATGAATTTGAATAAACTATCTATCAATCTGATACTGTCTTGCGCAGTTTTTATGCAAATTCAGTGCCGGACCCAGAGGCAATACTCTGTGTCTCCGCAGGAGCCAATTACTGCTCCTGGTCTCCGCCCCAAACTCCTTCCAGAGAGCCTGATACTCAGGCTACTTGGTTTTAGACACAGCTGACAAACCGGCCCATAATCAACTCCAAATAAGTGATTTCTTTGCCGATGACTTCGATCTATTAAGCAGTTTAAACATTTAAACAATTTCAGGGGCGGCGAGGTTTTTAATTAACGGCTTGATGGTTCAATTAGCCCTGTTTGGGTGAGAGTTTGGATAGAGACAGCAAAGTTAACAGTCAACGTATTGCATTAAAAGTCAACATATCGAAATACAACCAACATCTGGATTTTTTCCACATTTTTGCCTTATTGTAAAAATTAGGATCGCTGCTTGCTCCGCTCGCTTCAAGCTCGATAGGCTGCACAGCAATCTGGTCTACCAGAATGCATTACGTCTCTGTATAAAGTCTCATTATACGTCACTTTTGGTGATAGCACACAATATTTTACTCGAATTTTACGGCAGAGGGCCATGAAACTGACTATAGGTCGTGAGGTGCATTTTTTGCTTTGAAGACTGGGATATAAAACGTCCATTTTGAYCCACAGAAGCCTGGTGCCGAGTATCAAATTCAAAATGGCGGGAGAAGAAGTGGGATAAACATTTGGTTATTTCAACGGAATAAAATGAGAATTCAACACTAGATTACCTCTGTTCTCGTCAAGGATGGATATTCCGAGGCAAGTGAGCTTTTTGKATATATTTGAAGCACTTTTGGGTAGTTTTTGAGAGTTCAAATTTTGATGAAGTTTGAAAATTTTGTCACATGTTTGAAAGCTTGAAATGAAATTTCTCGTGTTTTTAGCTCAAACCGTGGAATATGGCATATTATTTCTGGACGYTCTTCGCTCCAAGAACCGGTAAGAAGATGAATTGTCGAACGATGGTGGCCGAAGTCTAATAAGTTTATATTAACTTTTAACTTGAGATGCTTGCTGTACATGTGTGTTATGTCTTTTAGAATCAAATTGCCGATATTCTACAACAAAATAAGCAAAGGCTCCTTGATGGAGTKTTGTGGTACAAGAAACCTAGGTATATAATAATTATAACCTCATTGATGTGTCAAAACAATACTAAAGGTGTACCAATTTTGATAACTGTTCGTGACTTTAACTATCCTTCTCGTCTTCATATTGATACAGTCTTGATGTCATAAAATCTTTAATTTGAGTGAGTTCAGAGCTGCAAATTTTGAACATTTCATGGTGTGAAGAGTGTGTGAATTAATTCAGGATAGGACACACAACAAAAATCCATTTTCAATTTGTTTTCTATCATATTTTTAATAACTTATAATTATAGCAAAAATCCTTAATAATTAKCTGACTTGTGAATTTTGCCTTGTCAGTAGTCACACACAAAGGAATCAAGACGAGGCGCCGTACATAAAGCTCAGTCATTTGTGGAAAGACAATAGTTTTTCACGATTGACTGATGTTTATGCACGGTGCACCTCGTCTTGATTCTTTTGTATTTAACTGAAGCAAAATTCACAAATTGGCAATTCTCTTATTGACACAATCCTATCATCCTGCAGTCAGCCTGCTACAATTCACCATCAAATCATTAATTAAACCATTAAAGATAGGTTATTTTTCCTACTTTTCAGTGCAAGTGCTTTTCAAAAACTCACAAAAGCAGAAAATATAAAACCAAAGAGAAAGGAATTAGTGAAGAAATTAAGTAAAATTCTGGTAAGTTTGACCCATTCTATGTACTGAATTGTGATTGGATGAAAAACATCTGAGGGGTATTACACTGAATTATTAGGATCTGGATGAATGGCAGTCTTTGGGGATATTCAGCAGTTACCTTGCGAATGAATTCAGAGGTTCTATGCAACAGTTACTGGTCAGTCTGATTTTAGTGTGGATAATTGTTTTAGCTAAAATATCATTTTGAATTATAGCTATCTTAGTATGCTGATTGGTCAAATGTTATTGTTTATTTCACCAGTAAACGCACAGATGCCAAAATGCTATAATAGAAATTAAAAGCAATAAACAACACATTTTCATGTGTTCCTGGTAAAATAAACCACATGGTACATTTGGAAAACACTAAAAAGGCTGAAAATCTCTCCCGTCCTGCTCAAGGTTTTTTACATCTTTTTCATGTTCTCCCAACATCTTGCGTGGTTTATTTCACCAGGAATGCATGAAAATGTGTTGTTTATTGCTTAAATACTTGATAAAGGTACCGGAAATGGAGATGCAGATTTCATCTTCTTTCCTACACTAACTCAAGAGTGAGATATATTTTTGAACACTGAAAGATAAAACCTGTATCTCCATGTGACTTATTGCCCTATTTCATTATGACGTCACAGTATGTTTACATTGGAAAACGACATGCTCAAAAACAGTGGAAATTTGGACCCATTTATATTGTCTACTAAAGTAGAACTTCAATGAATCGTGTTTTGATATATATCATGTATAAAATGATTGTTCATGTACATTTTATTTGATATGCATTCACTCTGATCCCTTCTGGCGACCATAATCCTTAGCGTTAAAACAATAGAATGTTTTGATGTGACATCATAATGAACTAGGACAATTCAGGAACCTGTTTATAATACTTGACAAAGTATGTTAATATCAACATTATTATACTATGTTACTTTATAGCTCATTACTAAGAATGAAACACAGACTGAAAATCTCATGACAAAGGTATTACTGAAATTATTTTCAAGTAACACTTTTTAATAAATACAGTTGACTCTCTTTGAACGACTACTCTTGTAAGCGACCATCTCCCTTATGCAAACACCTTTTAAATTTCCCATTAAAATTGTTTCCCATATAATTTCTTAAAAAAAACTCTCTCGTAAGCGACCATCTCTCTTAAGCGATCACTTATTCCTGATCCTGAGGTGGTCGCTTACGAGAGAGTTGACTGTATAAAGGACAAGTGTTTATTTTCATGGGTGTATCCAGGGGGTCACAGGGTGCCTTCAACCCCCCTTTCAAAGCCAAGAAATCTAATTGTTGATACAGTGCATGCGGATTTGTTTTGGATTAACTTAAGCAGTTAAGAAATTCAGTTTTCTGTCTTCTTGGGGCCATTTCATTTCTATTCAATTCAAAAACCATATGATATCATGGTGACAATTTGGTATGTAAGGACCCGTCAATGAACATACCCCCCCCTGATTATTGTTTTAATCTCATCAGATCTTAGAGTACTATTACGAAGAGAGATTGCATATTCTTGAGTGCTTGAAATATGTGTTGAGCTACTGGCAGGACCATCAGCATGCTTTCAGGGTATATATAATTGTCAATCAACAACTGCAAAGTTATGATATGACCATCACCACCACCAACAAAATCACTTAAAAATCAACAATAACAACTTTACAAAAATGCAATACCAACATAAACAGCATCAACAACAACAATAATAACACATAATCAACAATAACATCAAACAATAGTAGCATCAACAACAAAACAATAATTATAACAATGCAACAGCAGCATTAGCAATAACTATATAATGCAGCTAAAATCTGCAAATAACAACTCCACCAAATCTGCTACCACAATATCAGAAACAATAGCAATAATAATATTGTCTACAACGGAGCAACTACAACAACAACAACACTAAAATCAGCAATAGGTAACAATAGTACAGCACCATCAAAAGTGAAATAACAGCATTAAAAATTATAACAACAACAACAATAAAATAACATCAACAACAATTACACTTAGCAACATTGACAACAACAACTGTACAGCAACAGCAACAATAACGACACCTGTTCATTTGTTCATCATGTATTCCATCATTTCCAGGAAGAGTTTGCTGAGTTAATAGAAGATCTCCAAGACAAAGATAATCTTATCAACAAGGTACTTACTTAACAAATAGATCTCATTTTTCCGTGCGTGTGTACTCTAATAGATACACAGATGACGTCAAAATGTAGTGAGAACAAAAAAGTACGCACGAGACGCAGTCGAGTGCGTGACTGTTGTTCTCACTACATTTTGACCTCATCTGTGTATCTATTAGAGTACACACGCACGGAAAAATGAGATCTATCTGTTTTATACAACAAACAATTAGTTTTGACGTAATCCGTGTATCTATACTTTGATAACACAAGAAAGCCAACCAATCAAAACGTCTGATTTTACTGAAAAGTTGTATAAAGTGTATTTCATGCACGTTGGACCCTGACTATTCAGTTATGTGTAATATATAATTATTATTGCTATGTCAGAAAACAGAAACTTTGTATTCTGGATTGTATTATTCAGAAAATGCACAGATTCCTGAAAACTGATCTTTTTTGCAATTCATATGTATCTATCTATCAATCAACCAGTCTTTCAGTGAGTCAGTCAGTAGATGTCAGTCAGTAGACCTGTCAGTCAGTGAGTCAGTCAGCAGTAGATGTCAGTCAGTAGACCTGTCAGTCAGTGAGTCAGTCAGTAGACCTGTCAGTCAGTAGACCTGTCAGTCAGTGAGTCAGTCAGTAGACCTGTCATTCAGTGAGTCAGTCAGTCAGTAGATGTCAGTCAGTAGACCTGTCAGTCAGTGAGTCAGTCATTAGACCAGTCAGTCAGTCGGTAGACCCGCCAATCAGTGAGTCAGTCAGAAAGTCAAGAAGTTAGTCAATCAGTTGTCAGGCAGCCAGTCAATCATTAAGTCTCTCAGTCAGTCAGTCAAGAAGTCAGTTGGCCAGTCAGTCAGTAAGTCAAGAAGTCTGTCAGTGAATAAGACAGTCAATCATCAGTCAGACTGTCTTCTACCAAGGGTAAAACTAGATAGACATTGTCTGGATACTCAATTAAGTAAGGCTGTGATTGGTGAACGCTCTACACACTATTATAGGTAGGAGTTACTGTCAGAGATGTCATATATAAACTTGGAAAGTTGAATTCTATATAATAATATTATTATACATTTTCTTACTAGATAACAGAGCAATATAAATTCTGTTGTACAAGTCAAATTGAAGGGTCACATACTCGCAGTTCCGCACTCGTAAGTCACTAGTACTGCAAATTATTAATTGTTATTAATCCATTGATATTGCTCAAGTTTTATTGATAATTTTCTTGTAATGTTCAGGAGCGAAACAGAAATTATAGGCTAGCAACACAGTACCTTCAAGAACAGGTATTTAAAGTATTTAAAGGTCTCCTGCTCATATTTAATGTTATTAGTTAAATACAGAGCTTCAACACATTTTTCAGCTCTTGTTTTTATCATTTCATGTCATTTTTTCTGACTTTGAGATGTACTATTTGTTAGATCTTGTTGTTGGAGATAATGTTCCTGTACTATAGAGATTATGTACATCCAACTAGTAGTTTGTTACAGACAGCAAAACTATTCCAGGTAATGAATTGTTCATTTTCATTATGTATTCTTTCATTTCCATTATTTTTTCTTTTTCATTTTTTACTCTTTCATTTCCATTTTTTTCCATTTTCTTTTTTTCCATTTTTTTCATTTTTTGTTGTTTTTAGTTGTTCCCTTTTCTCCATTTGTTCACTTCTATTTTATGCACACTGTTCATTTTTATTTCTTTAAATTTTATTTATTTCCATTTCATTTTACATTTTCATTTGTTCATTTCCAATAGTTCATTTTCACTCATTTTATTTCCAACTTTTTTTCCCTTTCTTTTATTCACTTTATGAATTTTCTAAGTTCCATTGAATTTTCATGTTTCAGTCTCAAGGATTTGGTACCAAGCAGGYCAACAGACATTTAATGGATGCAAGATCTGAGCTGCTTATTCCACAAATAAGGTTTGTTATGAAGCTACATATTGTGATGAAAAAAAGGTTTAAAGGTCTATTATTAACCAGCATCCCTTGCAAG